CCTAGTACTGAGGATCAAACTTAGGGATGCTGTACCATTGAGCTACATCCTAGTCCTTTTTAAATTTTTTATTCTAAGGTAGGATTTTGGTAAACTGACCAAGTGGAGAATGGGGGTTGAAGTGGGAACAACTGAGGCAGAGGACTGCCATTTTTGGTAACCGACTCTGTAGCAGTCCTATTTGACATTTAAAACTGTCAGGGTATTACTCTAAAACTAATGAAATTTAAACTGGATGTGGAGGCGTATGCCTGTAATCCCAATACTTGGGAGGCTGAGGCAGGGGGATCACCATGAGTTTGAGGCCAGTCGGAGCTACATAGTGAGTTCAAGGCCAGCCTGAACTGCATGGCAAGATCCTGTCTCAAAAAACAAACAAACAAACAAACAACTAATTAAATTTAAGTTAGAAAGCAGGCAAGCTGGCAGAGGAGGGCCAGGAAATCTTTGCCTGCGCCTGTATCTTGAAGTGTTTCCCCTTAACAGTTCCAAAATTTCTGGCATTATGCGTAGGTTTTTGATTTTTTTTGTCTTTCTGAGACGGGTTTCACTATGCAGTTCAAGATGACCTTAAACTCACTTTGTAGCCCAGGCTGGCCTCAAACTCATAGTGATCCCTCTGCTTCAGCCTCGTGAGGGCTGGGATTACAGGCATGCACCACCACATTTCTTAACAAATTAAGAAATTGTTCTTAAATTTTCATTGTAAAGGTCTTTCATCTCCTTGGTTAGATTGCTCTCTAGTTTTTTTGTTTTTGGAAGATGTCATGAATGGAATTGTTTCCTGGATTTTTCAGCTAGTTCATTATTGGTGGATAAAAAAGCTATTGTATCCTGGATACTCAAATTGAACCATAAGAATATGTTACCTTTTCTTTTCCTTTTCTTTCCTTTTCTTGCAACAGGGTTTTGGTATGTTGCCCAGGCTGGCCTTGAACTCAGCCTCCTGAATGGTCAGGATCACAGATATGGACAACTGTACTTGACCTAACATACTGCATTTTCAACACACACACACACACACACACACACACACACACACACACACACACACAAACCCTAAGCAGAATCCAGTTATTTTTGTGCACACCTGTAGTCCCTGCACTGGGAGGCTGATATGGGAGGATCACTTGAGACCAGGAGTTTTGAGATCTTCTTGGGCAATCTAGCAAGATACCCCCATGTTCCCTGATCCAGAAAAACTTAAAAAAAAAGAAAAGCATCCACAGAATAAAAATATTTCTATAGAGGTTTAAGTATTCTAGGCTACCATTAGCCAGGAAGTGCTCTCACTTTGAGACAGCTGAATGGTAGGGAATTACCTCTAATTAAAAAAAAAAAAGTTACTTGGGTCACAATGGTAAGAGTTGTGTTTTGGGAGTAGAGAGATCTGAATCAGGGTCCCGGTTCGGCTGTGTAACTTAGATAGGTCCCTTCTGTGCTGTGTCCTCTACCAACTGGGGGAGCAGGACTGTGTGATCTTCCAGACTCTTCCAGCTCTGACATTCTAGAAGATGTGGTAATTTTTAAACAGCAGATGTTATCACAGTGAGTTATCTGTAAATGATTTGCTAGTGACACTTCTACATTTAAGACAAGGGGAGGACAATGAATAATGTGCGTATGTTTTCACCTGTTATTTCCTTTGCTGCTGAACTATCTAGAAGTGACGAGTCAATTAAAGTGGTGCTCATTCTGGGAAAAAGAACCTGAGCTCTCGTTTCTGTGGCAACACTGGTGCACTCTCAATGCTGTTTGCTGCTGATAATTAGGTTGCGTTGTAGTTTTCAACATTAAAACATGGTGTGATGAATTTATAGTACTTTATATGGATATCAAAGGTGAGGATGGCAAAGATCACACAGTTATGGTGAGGCTCAGACATGAACCTGGATACCAAGGAATTCACCTCCTCCTGAGGTGCTTCATTTCATTTTATCCCTCTCAAATCATTAGGAAACTTCCTTAGGCTGCACTAAAATATTTTTTCTTTTTGTTTTCCTTTTTTTTGGTACTGGCGGTTGAACCCATAGCCACTTCCAGGCTAAGTGTATACTTTACTACTGAGTTATGCCTTAGCCCTAGAGCTGAAATCTTTACCTCATAAAATT